AGAGAGAGAGAGAGAGAGAGCAGTGAACAGAATGGACCAAAACTCTGAACCTTCCTGGAGCCAACGAGCTAGTGGGAATTTTGCTGATGCACTGAAAATGAGTTTGGGGTTTGGTCAAAGTCCACAGTTACTGAGGTCTGAGGCAAAGTATTCCTCTGAGAGTGCTTCTTTGGATCAGAATGTGCTACTGAAAAGGATCATATCGAAGGATTAAAAAAAAGGTTCCATACAAAGAAGCTGGCCATGTACCCGAGCACACTAGCAATTAACAACGAGCTGACAGCCAGACCCACGTTTACCCAAGTGTGAAAGATTACCAGTATGCCCTCAGTGGAGCAAAAGGAGTTTGCATAGATCCCGAGAAGTAAGAAGAGTTAACTGTAAACACCCGGCAGCCAAGAACCAACCTTTAAGTCGCAGAACTGAAGCAGCTGACTTAAAACTTTCTTCTCCCTCCCTTAAAACTCCTCTTCTCCCCTAGAAGACAGCCTAGTTGGCAGAGAGAGACTGCGAAGGGGAAAATGTAGGCAGAGACATAGGGCCCATTTCCCCGTTTGCTCAAGCTGGGAAAGACAAGAAACTTCTCCTTTAATGTTTTCATTATCATACTGAATGTGTTAAATTACTGATTTCAGGTTAGTAATCAACCAGTTGGTTTTAGTTAGTTTGTTGGCTTTTTCTTTTTAACTTGATAGACCAAAAAATGTCATGAGGTTTCTAACATACTTCCTTTGAAAGCATGGAAGAATTAAGTCCACACTGGGTTTATTTTCACCATGCAGAGGGAACCAGCTTAACTTGCATGTGGCACCAACTCCATCTCATTTCTTCAGCATAGAGTTACACAGATCACCACAGAAATCTGCAAGTCCACAGGAAAAGATTTCAACTTTGCTTTTATCTAGAAATTACTCTCCTACGGTTCTTAAAAAGCCATTGGCTGGAAAGACAGCTCAGCAGCTACCAACACTGGCTGTTTTTCCAGAGGCCCCAGGCTGCATTCCCAGCACCTACATGGTAGCTTATAACCCTTCGTTAACTTCAGTCTCAAGGGATCTGAAGCCCTCTTCTGGCCCTCACTAGCACTATATGCACATGGTACAAAGACATACATGCAGGCAAAATACCCACACATAAAAAATAAATAAAAATAAATCAGTTGTTTAAATAAAACTTAAAGCCCGGCATTGCTTACTAACAACTTTAAAACAATATGGTTTGCTGAGCAGGTGTTCCTACAACCTATCTTCATTGATCGAATTTTCAGCATCATTAGCCAAATCTTCAAAAACCGGTGCTGAAAAGCTAAAACTCTAACATGTGCTTGAGGATCTTATGGGCAGAGACAGAGACAGGCAGAAAGAGAGGAAGAACCAAAACTACACGCCTCTTCTGTTGGCCTATGAATAGAGCTTTGGGAATAAAGAAGGCATATCATATTATTTGCTGTGAAGACAAAACTCAAAAGGACATTTGCTGAGAAGATAAAGATCAAAAGGGCACTTTAGAAATGATAGGCCCATGACTTTTCATTAATTTAATTAAGATTTAGTGAACACCATATGCAATCCCAGGCTTTGTTCCAGATGCTACGAATGCTTCAGTAAAAAATTTAAAAGCGAGCCGGTTGTGGTGGCACAAACTTTTAATCCTAGCACTCTGGAGGCAGAGGCAGCTGAATTTCTGCGTTAGAGGCCAGCCTGGTCTACATAGTAAGTTCCAGGCCAGAGAAAGCTAAATAATAAGATCTTGTCTTAAAAAAAATTTTTCAGTTAAAACTTCCTATTGTAGCTGGTACACATCTCTGTGAACACCTTTAATCCCAGCACTCAGGGGGCAGTGGCAGTTCGAAGCCGCCTGGTCTACAGAGTGAGTTCCAGGACAGATAGGGCTATACACAGAAATAGTGCCTCAAAACAAATGAAACAAACAAAAACCCAGAAAGCAAAATTCTTATCCTTCAATGTTTACAATTATACAATATAAAAATGTATCCTGTTATACATTTACAATAAACACAGATACACACACACACCACCTTTTCTGTGGCTAGTATCAGAAGCATTTTCTTTTCTTTGTATCCAGAAAGATCATTCCTTGGTAGGCACACAGTAACAGCACCATCATGCCTACAAGTTAATAAAAAACAAGGCAAGCAAAATAAAGGGCAAATCATTAAATAACATCTTTAATCATTAAAGTAACAGTGAAGAAACATACAAAAAGATTTCAACTAGTAAATAAAAGACAAAATAAACTCAAATTAGAGGGTTTTTATCTTTCTGCTCATCAGCTTGACAAGATAGAAGGAATGAACAGTATTCAGTGCTGATGAAAGTATATACAAAGTAGCCTGTCAGGCATCACAGAATATAAGGTGATATTCAACCTTATAACTAACATATTCATTGGAATTGTAAATGTGTCTTCCCTTTGACCTTACAAGTTTTATAAATCCATTAAGTACACAAAAGGTATTTATGTATGAGAATAGTTGTTCTCTGAGCACAGTGGCACATACCAGTAATTCCAGAACTCAGGGAGGCAGAGGCAGGCGGATCTCTGTGAGTTCAAGGACAGCCTGGTCTACAAAATGAGTAGACCAGGACAGCCAAGGCTACACAGAGAAACCCTGTCTCAAAAACAAAACAAAACAAAACAAAACAAAAACCAAATAATAATAAATAGTTTTACTACTTTTATTATGACAGCAAATAACAGAAAATAACCTAGTAGCTCACCAATAATAACTTATTATATTTCCATATAATGGACTTCCATGCAACTACTAAAAATAGTATATGCTATTACTATAAGCAATGTAAGTTGGTTAAACTTTTTAAAGTGTATTAGTAAGAAACAGATAGTTTAGTATAATCTTATTTATTTACAAATTTAAATATTTGTGTGAGGCACATGACTATAGAAAAGAATTGTGAAGATTCTAATAAAATTTTTAAAAAGAAATCTCCCTTAAGGATAGATGAGCTAATTTGGGTGCTTTTTTAAAAAAAACAACAACTTATTTTTATGTGTTTGAGTACTTTAACTACATGTAAGCACACCGTGTATGCACATGTCACGGAGGCTAGAAGAGGGTGTCAGGTTCTCTGCAGCTAGCATTACAGCTGTGAACAGCACGCTACAAGTTAAATGCTGGCCTATCTCTCAAGTGCCACAACTATTTTTAAACGAGCATTTATTTACCCCTTCATTCAAAATCCATTGTTCATTCAGCAATACGAATTACACACCTAATAGGTGCCAGGCAATGGACAAACAAAACAATCCCATCTATTAATTTAAAGGTAGAAGTACCAGCACCAGAGAGGCAGAGCCAGAAGGATCACAGCAAGTTTAAGGCCAGCATAGACTAAAGAGTAAGTTTGAGGCTAGTCTTGGCTGCAGGGTTAAACCTCATCTCTAAAGAAAGGAAGCAAAAAGTTAAGAGAAAGGAAAGAAGAAAAGTAAGAAAGAAGGAAGAAGAAAGAAAGGAAGGAAGGAAGGAAAGCAGGAAGGAAGAAAGGAAAGGAGAAAAGAAGGAAGAAAGAAAGGAAGGTAGGAAGGAAGGAAGAGGTACACAGACCAGATGAAGACATGGACATGTGCTTTCTCTATGCCATCCATGTCCTACTTCAGGGCTCTGCCAACAAGAAGGCCATCATCAAAACTGAGCGGATGTCAGCATGATAACCTTGAACCTCCAAAACTGAAGACTAAATAAACCTCTTTACTTTACAAAGTCAAATAAATAAATAAATAAATAGATAGATAAATAAATAAATAAAGATAGAAGTACTTTTTTAAAAATAACAAGAGCCAGTGTTGGTGAATTTCAAGAACAAAGGAATCACATAAACTATTGAGAGCATATAAATTTGAGAGGGGGTGGAGTTTAAAAACTGAGAGGTGAGAAAAAAATACGAGACAAACAAAAAACAAAAACAAAAAAACACACCCCACAATAACAAAACGAAACAGGGACCCAGCACAGTGGTCCAGAGTTTAGTCCCAGACTCCACATGGTGCAAGGACGTGGTGTCTTCTGACTTTCACATGAGTGTATGCAGGGACACAAGCGCACACACAAAACAAATAAATATAAAAATAAAAAGAATGTATGCGCACATGGACGTACATGAAAATATCTAGGATGTGATACCAATTGCTGTGTGAACATTTAAGCGATGTGTTACTTCTTCAAAACTCAGGGCCTTACGGAGTAAGTACCTGCCTCTGGGTACTTACCAGTCTGTAGATGTTAGGTAGGCAGCGAGCCCAGAGCCGTCTTGATTTCATCTGATGATAAACTTAAAAAAACAAAAACACACACACACAAAAAACAACGCTCTTTAAAAATTCGTAAGAAAACTCGCACCTTCCCCCTAGTGGCCTGATCTACTAGGTACAGCATTTAGTTGTGGACAGCGAACATTAAATACCAGAACGGAACCCTGGTCAAGTTCAAAGTCTGACAATAGCAACTAAGGGTCACAAAATGAGTGAAACGACCGTAGAGCCTTGAAAGATGTGCTCTCTAAGTACTCAACATACTCAGGCCAGAAATATGAACACAAACACACACAAAACACACACATAGCAACTCTACCGCGCGCGCGTGTACACACACACACACAACGGTTCTCTGGCCTTTTTTTGCACCCTCTTTGAGCCAGGCAATTCCCGAAATCTCTGTGGACTGTGACTGAGACGCTATGCGGGATAGCGCATCATCCGGAGCTGGGTGCGGTGTTCGGCACACTGGATCGAGAGCTGACGGCCTTCTGCAATCCACAGGTAAAAAGCGAGAAACCCTGCGCGCCGCGTGGTGGCCACGCCCCGGCTTTCTCCGCGCACAGGCATTTGAATCCTGGGGTTTCCCGCCAGTCCCCGTTCCTGCCCTTCCGCAAGCCCCGCCCACCCAGGGCTGGGGCGGGGAAGCGCTAAACGCCGATCCGTGGCTCTGGGGTAGACTGTGCTTCCTGCGCCGCCGCCGTCAAAACTCCGCAGGCTTCCCTGACGATCACCGAGCCGAAATAGAGGCCGTGCTCTTGGGTCCCCTGCTGTCTCTGGTTGTCGCCTCGCCGCGCTATGGTGAGTTAAGCCCCGAGTCCTCGCAGGGTTTGGGGCTGAGGTCCGCCGACGCGGTCGGGGATGGGCTTCCGTTCCCAGTGACGCGGGGCGGTGGGAGAGGGAGCTAGGCTCACGGACGGGCTCCGGCAGTGATTCAGCATCTGCGGCCTGGCCGGCGAGATGCGGTCGGTAGCCTGGGCGGCCTTTTGCGCGGCTTCTCCACTTTACACGGGGACCAGGCGCTTCTTCCTCGGCCAGATGGCCTCCCTCGCGCCTCAGTTTACTTCGGTGGTCAATTTCAGGAGGCCTTGTGGTCCCTGGTGACCTGCATAGGGAGAGGATAGGGCTGTGTGTGTGGGTGCACCCAGCACCGGCAGGGCCGGACCTGAGCCTGCAGTCAGGTCCATAGACCATGCTCATTTTCCTCATGGGTCCATTTGGCTTATTGGAGTCATCGACAAAGGCTCCCATTCAGTCACTTGTTCTGGCACCTAGTTACAGAGGAGAGGGGAAGTGATGGACTCAGGTTCGAAACGTAGTGCCATGGGCTGCTTCCGTTGAGCCTGCCATTTGAACTCTTGATCTTCTCACCCTCGCTAATATCCCTCTCCCAAGTGCAGACACACTTGCTTTAGTAATGAGGTTAGAGCAGTAGCGGTTCTGCCACTGTACCTATTTGTATCCACCGTTTTACCGAGAATTTCTGTATGTGTTAATTCATTCAGTGGCAAGGTGCAAGAAGAGAGCTCAAAGTTAAACAAAACATAATTTTAATCATAATGTAAAGATAAAGAGATATGTAAGAAGCTGGGTGTGGTGGCACACAGATTTAATCCCAGCACTTAGGAGGCAGAGGTGGGCAGAACTCTGTGAAGCTGGCCTGACCTACAGGACAGCCAGAGTGTAGAGACCCTGTCCAAAAGATAGATAGCTGGTAGATAGATAATATATAGCTAGATAGAGTTGGGCATGGTAGCACACCCCTGTAATCTCAGCACTTGGAAGGTTGAAGCAGGACTTCAAGGCCATTCTCCCTAGTATATAGCAGATGAAGGCCAGCTTGGGATGCATGAGACTATCTCAAAGTTCTGCTGGAAGCTGTACTGAGAATTTGAGGAGAAAAGATGAAACCTTCAAGAGATGGACATTTGAGTCAATTTAAAGAAAATGCCTTTGGGAAATGATTAGAACCCTGTGTGAGAGAGTGGTGTGAGGGAGGAGAAAGAGAAATTGATGTGTGCATACTTTTGCAGCTGACTGCCTAAGGGCAGTGCTGTGGAGAGTGGCTGAATATGAAGTTAGGAAGACCCTAGTCCATCCATCCCGACAGCTCGGTTAAGGTTGTGACCTGCAAACTGAGTGCTATAATGTCTCAGGAAAGCTGCACTAGCTGAAAGGCTTGAACAATTAAACGGAAACACATGTCTTAATGTTAAAATTTGAGGTTTGTAATGTTCTCATGTTAATCTGTCTCTTACTTCCACTTTCAGTTTCGAAACCAGTATGACAATGATGTCACTGTTTGGAGCCCACAGGTAAAATGTCTTATGCCGTATTTATGACGTGACTTCATGGCTGCAGTAGGTACAGAAACCTATGAGATTGTAAACTGGGCTTGGCAGTGCACATCTTAATCCTTGTCGGTCAAGAGGCTGAGGCGATAGGATCATGGAGCTGGAGACCAGTTTGAGCAATTCAGTAGAACCCTATCTTTAAAAGAAAAGTAAACAAGCTTCTGAGGTTATAGGCTGTGAAATTAAAGTTAGAATTAAAATTAGTTTTAAAAAGTGAAATTTAATTATCCTCATCTGAGATCTGGAAAGTTTAATTTTTAGTTTGTAAAAGGATCTTCTAAGATGACTATCAGAATTACTTTATTTATTTATTTTTGGTCTTTAGGGCAGGATTCATCAAATTGAATATGCAATGGAAGCTGTTAAACAGGGTTCAGCCACAGTTGGTCTAAAATCAAAAACACATGCAGTGTTGGTTGCATTGAAGGTAAGTGAAATGATAAGCCTGTCTTCTTCCATCAGGAAACAGAACTATCCAATGTAAATTTCACTGATATATAATAGAGCTATAAACTAAAGTACCATACTGTGTCTCTGTTTAGAGGGCGCAGTCAGAACTTGCAGCTCACCAGAAGAAAATTCTCCATGTCGACAACCATATTGGTATCTCAATTGCGGGTCTGACTGCTGATGCTAGGCTGCTATGGTATGTGTGTTTTATTTATTTTTCTTCTTATTTATTTATTTGGGGAGAGGATAGGCAAGGCTTCTCTGTGTAGCCTTAGCTGTCTTGGACTTGCTTTGTAGACCAGACTGGCTTCGAACTCACAGCAGTCTGTCTTCCTTTGCTTCCCTGAGTGCTGGGATTAAAGGCATGCACCACTGTGCCCAGCTAATGAACTTTTTGTTTGCTTGTTTTTTAAAGTGCCCAGATAAAGTATCTTAGGAGGGTATCTCCTGGAATATTGTACTTCTTAAATGTTTATTTTATTTGTATGGGTGTTTTGTTTACATGTACATCTGTGTATCAGTGTGTGCCCTGTTCCCTCAGAAGCCAGAAGAGGACAGTAGATTCCCCTGGTACTGGGGTTACAGAAGGTTATGAGCTTCCATGTGGATACTGGGAATTGAACCCAGGTTCTGTGGAAGAGCAGCTAAGCTATCTCTTCAGCTCCCAAAAAATTAGACTTTGTAATATTATAAATTCCTGAGGGTGTGTTACTAAGTATTTCCATTTCCTAAATCTTACAGTGCTACTAAACATCCTAATGCTTTTGAAAGTCTCTGAATGTAATAGTTGTTGACATGTATATTATTTCAAGATTTATATCCCTAAAAGCTAGATACTTTCTATTTAAGGATGACCTGAACCATTCTAGTTTTCTTCACTCTGTCAATATTTATTCATTTGTTTTCACAAAGCTCAGTAGTAGTATATAATAAGGATATAGAAAGGTGACTTGCTTATAGATCTTGTCCTCAGGGAACTTAAAAACTATTTTATTTATAACAGGAGGTGGGAACTAGAGAGTAACAGGCAAATTTCTATGACTGCCCTGGCGAGATGGCTATTTCTTGTTGAGAAATAGCACATAAGTTAGGTGGTAGGACTTTGAGATCACACCAATTAAATTCTCACTTAGGAGCTTAATATCTGAGACTGGACTAATTAAATATTTTTTTCTGAGAAATAAAACATTTAACACGTTACTTTCAGAAAGAGGGGGGGAACTGAAAGTGCAAAGTAGCCAAAGTTCATCATGGTTTGACTAGGAAAAGAAGGTAAGAGTAACGACCGTATTGCCATTTGTTAAGATTTTCTAATTCAGTCTCTTTAAGCCAGTAGTAGAGTGACACTATGTGTTTCTGCTCTCAAAATATAAAGTGTAGTTTGTGGTCAAATATGCTGCTTATTTTGCCTATCTAAAATAGTATCATGCCAGCATCCAGTTAGTAAGACATGGTTTGTAGTTTGGGTGTTGTCTTTTCAAGTTTGATAAATGTTTTATGTTTAAAATACATTTTAGCACACCTTTAATCCTACCATTTGGGAGGTAGAGGCAGGCGGATCTTTGTGAGTTTGAGGCCAGCCTGGTGTACAGAGTGAGTTCCAGAACAACTAGGGCTACACAAAGAAACCCTGTCTCAGGAAAAAAAGAAAAAGAAAAAAAATACATGTGTGTGTGTGTGTGTGTGTGTGTGTGTGTGTGTGTGTTTATATGTTCTCAGGCCTCATTATGTTTAGGTCCTTAAGCCCACGTGGAATTGGTGTTCGCCATGTTAAACAGTACACTTTTAGAAAGCCATAGAAAATGTTGACATTCAGTCAGCATGTGGTCAGGTCTGGGAGGTCAGGGAGCTTACCTATCTTATTTGAGGTCTGCGGTTTGATTTCTATACTACAGAAACACCCCCAAAATAAAACTTGGCCATCAGATGTGACATACATGTACTAGGAATAGGAAGTCAATGTGGAGAGAAAAGAGCATAGCAGTTTCTGATTATCCTCTTTTATAGGCACAAAATTTTGTCTCCTCTCTATTTACCTGGCTTGAATCTTGTCAGGATTATCAGTGAGATTCAGCTGAAGGATGGCTTGTATCTCCTCTAGGGTGGCACTTACACCTGCTTTCAAGAAAAAAACAAAAAAACTTTCCCTTTTTTTTTTCTGGTTTGAAAACTAAAAGTCAAGCATATGGCCAGGCAGGGTGGTGTACACCTTTAATCCCAGCACTCAGAGAGGCTGACACAGGCAGATTGCTTTGAGTTTGAGGCCAGCCTAGTCTACAAAGCAAGTCCAGAACAGCCAGAGCTACACAGAAAAACCTTATCTCAAAAAACCAAAAAAAAAAAAAAAGTTAAGGCGTATGATTGCTGACAATGGGAAGGACAAGGAAGGAGGGGGTTCTTTTTTGGGGGTTTGCCTTCTCCATTCTGTAAGACATCTGAGTCCAGGATTTTGTACAGAGGAATAATTTAGTTACTAATTTATTAAGCATTTTATATTATGAAGCTGGTTTCAAACTTCTAGTCTTCTTGCCTTCACTTTCCAAATGCTTGATTATAGGGATAAGCTGCCTTGCCTCACCTGGTCATTTCTTTTCAAAACTTCATGTGGTCCCAGAATTTAGTATACACTCAAAGGAATCTGTTTGTTCATATCTTACCTTTCTGATTTTCATGGATGTACTGCATGAAAATGTTTGCAGGAAAGCAAAATGGAATCAAACTGCTTTGTTTAAATATTTAGGTTATAGTCATTCTCTGTAATATGAATTAATTTTTTTTTTTTTTTTTTTTTTAGTAATTTTATGCGCCAGGAATGTTTGGATTCCAGATTTGTATTTGACAGACCACTTCCTGTGTCTCGTCTTGTGTCTCTAATTGGAAGCAGTATCCTTTATGTTGGCATTTATAAATATAAACTGTAAAGCATTTGGGTACTTAGTGCTTGTCTTAGTTATTTGGAATGTAATTCTATAAAACAAATCAGATTGTGAAAGTTTGAGGAATTGGATTACTATTTCACTAGCCTTTATAAACAGTTGATATTTCTAAGACACAACAGCCCAATCTTAGGAAACTATTCAATTTATCATTTTTAGAGAGTAAGGTTTCTGAATGGTTCTAGTTACCACCCAGAGTTCTGGCCCTTTATATTCAAAACAAATCCATCAGTAGGCAAAGATTATTTTGTTAGTGTTCATTCTTGGCTTTGGTAGAAATTAAAACTTTGTATATTAGGCCAAAAGAATACCATTCTGTTACTTTCTTCTAGAAGCTCATGGAGCAATTAAGAAGCTAGAAGTCGGCAGGCAGTGGTGGCACACACCTTTAACCCCAGCACTTAGGAAACAAGCAGGTGGGTTTCTGTGAGTTTAGGACCAGCTGGTCTACATAGTTCAGGACAGTCAGGGGTACATGTTGAGACCCTGTCTCAAAAAACTAAAGAAGAAGCTAAAAGTTTTTAATTTATTACATGTTGAAACAGGCTCCTTAACTAGTTTCAGAGACCCAGATTCCAACACAGCGCTATGGCCGGAGACCATATGGTGTTGGGCTGCTTATTGCTGGTTATGATGTAAGTTCTCATATTGTCTCTTTTTCTGTTTCGGTGGCAAAGTACCTGACACAAACAACCTAAGGAAAGGGTTTATTTTGACGTAATGATTTGAGGAGACAAAGTTCATCATGGTAGGGAACTGGAGGCGGCCAGTAATGTTGCATTACACTTGAAAGGCAGGAAGAGATGAATGCTGGTATTTAGCTCATTTTCTCCTGTAGTGAAATCCAGGACAAAGCCCATGAGGTAGTGCCAGTCATTGTGGGTGAGTTTTCCCTTTTCATTTAAACTTGTCTGGAGCTGGGCCTGATGGCACACACTTTTCATATCAGCACTAGGGAGGGAGAGGAGGCAGGTCTCTGATTTTGAAGCCAGCCAGGAATACATAGAGAAACCTTGTCTTGAAGAGAAAAAACAAAACAAAAAAATATGGGGAAATGCCTCTCAGACACACTTAGAATATATCTCCTAAATGATTTAAATCTAGTCAGTTTGTCAATGAAGATGAACCACAGAGCTATCACAGTTTTAGCCTTAAATGTTTGAAGCCTAGAAATGTTGTACTCTTTACCGCAACCAAAGTCGAGAATTACATAGTGTGTTTTTCTGCTTATAGGATATGGGCCCTCACATTTTCCAAACCTGTCCATCTGCTAACTATTTTGACTGCAGAGCTATGTCTATTGGAGCCCGTTCTCAATCAGCTCGTACTTACCTGGAGAGACATATGACTGAATTCATGGACTGTAAGTGTAGTTTGGTTTACTATATTTTGTTTAGTTTTCCCTCTTCTAGTCTTCATTTAGTTAACAAATCTATCCTAAATGAGGAAAACTAATAGTTTTTAGTTTTTAGAATCTTTAGTTTTAAAATCTTACATTCATAGCATGTCTGTTTTGTAACATATGCTAACTTTTACTTATAGCTACTAAGAGAACTTTATCAAAATGTAGCTGTATCTCCAACCTTGAAAATTCTTGATGCATTTGGTCTGAAATAGGTACCAGTCAGAGTTGAAAACCATTATACTACCATTATACTAGTTGCTGTTGTAAGTTCTGTATACAATTTCTCTTCTGTAAGTCTGTTTCTTTAGGCAACATAGCATCTCTGCGATAAGTGGCCCATGAATAAGTGAAAGCAGTATAGCTATGGAAAAGAAGGTGAAGGGTATAAGATGATGAGCTGGTTTTCAAGTGCTTTGCTTTGTATTAAAGAAGGGTTAGTATTTCTCTTGGTTGTCCATGTTCTATTCCTGATGCTGAGGGGAGAGCATTCTAAGTCTGATGTTAGCTGTGAGATTTTAGAACGGAAGTTTCCTGCAAATACTAAGTGAATGAGTGCTTTTGTTAGGTAGGAGTTCAGAGTTTGTCACATGCGTGTTACATCTGATTGCAATGGACATACTGTCCATTGTTGCATTGGTTGACTTTTCAGATGTTAACCATCTTTACATTCCTGAGAAAACTACCCTTGGTTATTACCTATAATCTTTTCCTTGTTGTTGGGTTCTGTGCTGTTGGTGGTAGAAATGTGCTAGTGGATTTATTTAGTGCTTTTTTTTTTTTTTTTTTTTTTTTGAGATGAGGTCTCACTGTGTAGTTCAGATTGGCCTGGAACTCCCTCTATAGCTCAAACTACTCATAGTCCCCATCCCACTCCCATTCCTTCAAAGTACTAAGGAAGTAGGTATGAGCCACTTATTTGGGTATCTTTATTCATAGGGGAGATTTTCTGTGATTTTTATATCAGGTAAGACTGACCACATAGAAAGACTTGGAGATATATTTATTTATTATTTATTCAGTATTCTGCTGCATGTGTGCTTGAGAACCAGAAGAGGGTACCAGCTCTCACTGTAGATGGTTGTGAGCTACCATATGGTTGCTGGGAATTGAACTCAGAATCTTTGGAAGAACAGCCAGTGTTCTTAACCTCTGAGCCATCTCTCCAACCCCCTGGGAACACTTCTTAATAACCAGCATTCTATAAACCATAGTCTACAAAACTGGAATGGCATCTGTGAACCAGGACTTTTATTTAACCTAGTGAAAGAACAGATCTTTGGTTTGGGTTTTGGTTTTTCAAGACAAGGTTTCTCTATATAACAGAGCCCTGGCTGTCCTGGACTTGCTTTGTAAACCAGGCTAGCCTCAAACTCACAGAGATCCGCCTGCCTCTGCCTCCCAAGTGCTGGGATTAAGGGTGTGCACCACCACACCTGGCTAGAATAGATCATATTTATTATTAACAGACATCAAATAGTCATTGCTGGTTGATTTAGGTTAGATTATATAGCTAACATTACACTTCAGGCTGTTTTATTCTGTATAGTATGTCACTCAAGCCACAATTTCAGACTACAGACTTGATAATTAAAAGAAGCCTTAGATGATAGTGAAATTAAAAATTATTTTTATTTGTTACATACAGGCAATTTGGATGAACTGGTTAAACACGGTCTGCGTGCCTTAAGAGAAACACTCCCTGCAGAGCAGGACCTGACTACAAAGGTAACTCCTGGTGCAAATTGTAGTGTTAACAGTGCAGTTTAATCCTCAATCTCAAGTAATATAACATAGCATGTACTTAAGTTATTTTAAATTATTTCTCTATTCACCACATTATCTTGTTTTGAAATGTCATGTTTTAAATTGGGGTGGGGAGTTACACAGCAGTAAAATTTCTTTATTTTGTTTTGTTTACAGTAGGTAGTCATATCTTCATCTTTTGTTTGTTATTTTTGTATGTTTGTTTGAGACCAAGTCTTATATAACCCAGGCTAGCCTCAAACATATGTAACTGAGGATGACCTTGAACTCCTGATCCTCCTGCTTCCACCTTGAAGGTCCTAGAATTACAAGCAGCCACCACTGTGCCCTTTCTGTATTATTAATATTGTTAACCAATATATACACACACACACACACACACACACACACAGACACTCTGTAGGTATTCAGAGTACAAGACAACAAGTATCTTGCCTTCATTACAGTCTAATGAGGGGGTGAACATTTATTTACATACATAAATAATTAAATAATTTATTTTAATTAAATAATTAAGTAAATTATTTCAGTGAACAAGTCCTGAGGCCAAATTTTTCCAGTATTCAAAGAAAGAACGTCAGTAGGGTTGGAGTCAGTGAACAAGAAGAAAATGGGAAGGCAAGAAATCAGAGATAAAGTGGAGGCCACATTATGTCTATCCAGGAGTGGTGATTGAGAAGTGATAAGAAGTGATTCAGTGTTAGATTGGGGAATTAGAATTTTCTCACAGGTTTTTAGGGCCAGAGTAGGATGCTTTCAAGTGTTTGACTGAAGGAAAGAGGTATAATTTTACTGAAATAGATGTGAGAGTGGAAGGAACAAGTTTGGGGATAGGAGTTAGAGACGATCAAGTCAGTTTAGGATATATAAAATTCAAAATGCCTGTCTGTCCAATTGGTGATGGAGAAGAAGCAGTTTTCAGTTCTCATCAGATTTCTCTGGAAAGTGGTCAAGGTTACAGTTACAAGTTTTGGAGTCTTTACATAGGAATGACATTTAGAGAGTAGAGTAGGACCTATTTCTAAAGCAAGCAAATGGGTTTGAGTACTAGGCCAAAACCACTATAACCTTAAAAGACGGGGAAATTAGCAGGTGTCAGCAAGAGACTCAGAAAGATGACCTGATATAGAGGAAAACCTAGAAAGTGAGGCATCACTGAACGCAAATGAAGAACTTTGGAGAAGAGAATAAAGAACTGCTAATAAAGCAAGAAAGATGCAAATTGAAAATTAGCCATTACATTAGCAGTGGTATTCTGAGGACTTGACAAGCGGTGTTAATCCATTGGGGAAAGAAAGTCTTGAGAGAAATAGAATATGGAGAAGAGGAATTGAAATATCTCTTTGGAGGAGATAGGTTTTTGTTTTTGTTTATTTGTTTTGTTTTTGTTTGTTTGTTTTTTTCTTCTTCCTCATTGATTATCCCAGAAAAATAGAGTGCTGCCTGGGAAAAGAGGTAGTAAGTATTTTTCACTGTTTTGTAGGGTGGAAAAAATGACATCATGTTTTGTTTGTGTAGTTAATAATAATAAGCCAGTGTAGAATGAAGCAGTTGTTGAGGAAAATGTCCAGAAGTGGAAGCATTGATTATCAGGAAGAAATTGAAGTGTTCATTCATAGTGATGGGAATAAAGAAATCTAGACACCTCTGTCTGTCTTCCAATTGCTTGTAGTTTCTCAGTGAATAGAAAAACAGGTTTTCAGCTGAAGGAGAATGGAAAATGTCTAAAACAAGGGAAGATTGGGGGTAGGGGTGTGGTTCAGTGATTAAAGTGCTTGCTTCTGGCACCAGCCCTCAGCACTGGGGAAGGGAAAGGGGACGGTGGAATGATGTAGGAACTAAGTTGTGTAATCATAAAAGATCAGGGAAGGTATACTTGGATTTATTATTACATTTAAGTGTGATAGTATTGTAAAACTATTGTGTTAGTCATTGGTTAATTGCTATTTAGTATCTTAGTAAATTACTATTTAGTATCTAGGTCAGCAGTTTTCAACCTGTGGTTTGAGACCCCCTTGGGGGTTGAACAGTCCTTTCACAGGGGTCACATCAGATATATACATTACAATTCATAACTAGCAAAATTACAGTTAGGAAGTAGCACAAAAATAATTTTATGGTTGGGGGCTCCCACAATCTGAAGAACTCCATTAAAGGGCTGCTACATTAGGAAGATTGAGAACCACTGCTCTAGGGGAAGACGTCATTGCTAGATGATTTATATGAACCATTGAGGCTACTCATAATAACCAAAAGTGAATATTGAATATGTAATTAAAAGAGCCATAGTTTCCTACCTCTTTTCACTCCTACATATAATTTTTAAAACTTTGAATTTAAGTGCTATGTATATTTTTTCACCTTTTGCATTTTATTATATACATTAATTTTCCCTCTTCCCCTTCCCTCCATTAGAATGTTTCCATTGGAATTGTTGGTAAAGACTTGGAGTTTACAATCTATGATGATGATGATGTGTCTCCATTCCTGGATGGTCTGGAAGAAAGACCACAGAGAAAAACACAGGTATGTTACCAATCATAACATGAGGCTTCAGCTTTACTGTAAGCTGCTGTTCATGTCACAACCATGTAAATTCATTGCTTTTGTCTTTCATTATTGAGGTAGATCCATAATTGAAATAACAATTTAGAAAGCACTGGGTCGAGAAAAATAGTGAAGGGTCAGTAATCTCCATACACACAAAAAGGGAGAAGGGTTTGATTCTTTATTGCTACATAACTAAGGTGACCCCAAAATTTACAGCATTAGACCACATTTCTCAGAGTTCTGTCATGGCCTGAGACATGGCTAGAAGGTTCTACTGCTGCTCGCACTTGGGATCTCATAAGTGCTGCAGTCTGACTGAAGAAGAGCCAAGGCATCCAAGATGCTTTTATTCTTTACCCACTCTCTAGGTAGCTCAGAGATTCGGCTGGACAGCTCCAGACTGCTACAGTGACTAGGCTCCTGTCTGGCTAGTCTCAGTTGCAAAAGCTCAAAAGTGAAGATTGCCAGCCATTCCTAGGGCTAGAACTCAGGACTGATACAACCTCACTTTAGCACATTCTTTAGGTTAAAGTGAGTGACAGGGCCAGCCTAGAAGGGTCTGAAAAAGAATTTATGTTGGGAGCTAGTTTTGGACACTTTGTTGGCTCTTTATAAATGGTGACAAAAACATGAAGAAATGTTGATTTTTTCATTTTATTTTTTTAATTCTGAAAACAAAAGTGATCAATCTAGGGTTATAAATCCTTCCTAAAATATGCATTTGATTTTTTCCTCTCAGTCTTACCTCCCTACCTCACCTCTAAGCTGGTAGGATTACAGGCATGCAGTCCACACCATTCACACTTGCTGCTAATGGATGTGAATTTCGTAATTGTGCAACATAAAAAGTGATGCAGAAAGTTTTTCTACATATTATAAGATCATGTGTATAATCCTAGCACAGGGAAACCTCAGCTCCAAAAAAGGTGGCAGTGCTAGAGTTTCCTCCAGCTTCAGTTGTTGAGTTTTTCTCAGTTTGGCAAAGATGCTATTGGTGCTGTTTGGGAGGGTAAGATTTGCATTTTAATTATTAGCAAGAACTAGCAGTTAGGAAGAATGCTCTAGAGTCCTGCTTTGTTAATTGAACAGAAGGAAGTCTAACAGGTGCTAGCTGTGTTTTAAGCATAGCAGTAAAACATAAGAAAGGCTTAACTGTTAAACAAGACAAATGATAAACAGTAGAATTAATTATGGGTGATCTTTAAGTTGCCAGAACTAAAATTACATATATATATTTTTAAAGCTCTATTAAAAAATTTAACAGGATATTGCACTAAAATCAGTATCTTCAATATCTTCTAACCCTCTTTTCTCATTGATTTTTGTATTATATTGTAGTACTTGTGATTTAAGAGTATATATTAAATATTCACTTTACAGCTTTTCATTTTTGTCTTTTTTAAAGCCTTCACAGGCAGCTGATGAACCTGCAGAAAAAGCTGATGAACCAATGGAACATTAAGCATGAAGAATACAGAGACACAAGGATGCAGGGACATTCACTGGTGACAGTAATCTGTATTTTGAACCAACAGCTGCAGAATATTGGGTGGTATGTGTTAGGAATTAGTCCAGATGTGAGTTTTCTCCAAGCAACTTCACAGAAACCATATAATGGGGTGCATTTTCTTTGAAAGGGTCTACATAATCATTTTCTAGAAAGTATGGGTATCTATACCAATGTTTTTATATGAAGAAAATAGTGTCTTTGCAGTTTTAAAGACAACTGTGAAATAAAATTGTTTCACCTCCTGTTGTATAGAGTTTTTGTTTTTAAGTAGTTTCAACTGTAGACGGCGGCTAATATCACAGTGGTCACTTGTCATATCTGTCAGATTATGTTTTTTGGGCTTCTTTTGTTTTTAGTGATAAAGAAAAATACTTGTTATCAACACAGCTTTAAGCAGTTTAATTTGCTAGCATGTGGACTGGCTACATTACAAATTCATGCAGATGCTCTCAGAATACAAATTTCAGGATGCATACCTGGGGCCTGTTCTGATTGAAACTAAGAAGCCAAGCCAGGCTTGGGGTGAATGCCTTAATCCCAGCAGTTCTGAGGTGAGGCAAGAGGATCAGGAGTTACAGACCTGTGGCTCTGCTACAGATAGAGTTTGAAGCCAGTCTGGGAACATGAGACCTTGTGTAAGAAGTAAGTCACCACCGGGTCATAGAAAAACCCTCTAGAATTAATAACAACCATTCAACAACAACCAACAGTCAAGATAGAAAACAGTTCCATTACAGAGATCCCTCCTGTCATCTACTGTCACAGCCAGGTGCTCACTTTAACCCTGGCAACGAGCTATCTATTCTAACATATAAATGGAGTCAAACAATGGAATCTTTGATACTAGCTTTCTTTATTCAGCACAATCCTCTGAGAGTGAGATATGTTTAAGAACACTCCTTTTGTGTGCTCCTTTTTTTCACATGGAACCATTACAACTGTAGTTACTAGTTTTCCAAGCTCACTTGACTTACCAAGAGGTAACGGGAAATGACAACAAACAAGACATAAAAGTTAGGTTTAGCAATGAGAAAACTCAGTAGTTTAGGGTCACTGTGGTGTAGACCAACCATATCCATTCACTAAGTTAAACCTTAGGGTTCTTCATGACTGACTCACTAAAGAAACTTTAAAAATGACATATAGTATTTTAGGCCTGCACCTGAACATGTATGGTAATGTGCATGGTTTTACATTTTAAAACATGGAGCTTCTTAAGCAGATATCAAGATCTTATGTAGCTTCACTAATTCTTACAAAGTATATTCTGGGGACTTTTTACTGTAACATGTAACTGTATCATTTCAAGTGCTTTCCAAATCACAAATTACTTAAATGTTAAAACTTAGTGTATCAAGGAAAAGTGCCAGGAATGGTAGCGTATGCCTGTAATTTCAGCACTCAGGGAGGCAGCAGTAGGCAGATCACTGATAGTCTGAGGCCAGCCTAGGCTACACAGGGAAACCTTGCTTGAAAAAAATAAAAGTATACAAGTTGAGGACACAAAGGACTAAAGAGACTTGCTCCAAATGTCTTAATAGTCAAACAATAAAAGCTTAGAGCCTAAGTTCTGACATCAAATTTTTGCCATTTTTTTTTGTTTGTTTTGTTTTCAAGACAGGGTTTCTCTATGTAGCCATGGCTGTTGTCCTGAAACTTGCTCTGTGCCACCACCACCCCACAAGTTTTTAGCTTTTTATGTTTGTGCCAGTTCTTCACAGCTGCACATGAAGATGGTTAATTCCTCATTAAATCATCCTTGTGTCAGTGGGAAGACTTAAAGGACAGTAGGAATTTTACTGTTCAGTTGTTCAGCAGACTAAGTGGAGTAACAGTGCACAGACGGAAGGCCCTCAAAGAGAAAAACTTGGTAAGATACACATACCTGCCCTTATTAGTGGAAGGCCAGAGGACCTTGGGCATTCTGCTCTACCATCTGACTTCCTTGAGATAAGGTCTCTCACTGAGCCTGGCCCTAGACTAACGGCCAGTAAGCAGCAAGCCTTTCATCCTGTAGTTCTAGGGTTGCTAGTATAAATCACGCTTGCACAGAAATTGGCTTTTTCTCTTTTTTGGTTTTTCAAGACAGGTTTCACTTGTGTAGCCCTGGTTCTGGAACTTGCTCTGTTCTGCAGGCTTCGCTTGAACTCCGAGATGCTGCCTCACAAGTGCTGGGATTGTTAGCAAGTGGCTCTTAACTATATAATTTTTTTTCTAGTTCCAAAGTGGGGACAGTTTTAGAATCGGTGTCCCATATACATATTGAGAGAAAAATCTACTAAAACTGTCATTAGCTCAGTCATTTAAATTTTTTTATTACAGTTTTTTTGTATCCCAGCTGTAGCCCCCTCCATTCTCTCCCAACCCTACCCTCCCTCCATCTCCTCCCATGCCCTCTCCAAGTCCACTGATAGAGGAAGTCCTCTTCCTTCTGACTCTAGCCTATCAGGTCTCACCAAGACTGGCTGCATTGTCTTTCTCTGTGGGCTGGTAAAGCTGTCCCCCCTCAGGGTGAGGTGATCAAAGAACTAGCCACTGAGTTCATGACAGAGATAGGCCCTGCTCCCCTTACTAGGAAGCTCAGTCATTTTTTAATCTTTAGTTGAGTTCTAGCCAAGTGATAGTTTGTACTTAGGAAACAGATAAAAAAAAGCACACAATTTTTATCTTTTAACAACAGAACCACTCAGCAAAGTGAGAAAGGCACAGAGGAAGAAATACAAGTTACTAGTTTTAGCCTCCCTCCCTAGACCATACCAACACCCAGGACATCTGAAGTTTGTAGTTTTAGTGTTTTGCATATATTTGGTGTAACTCCACAAATAGCCAATGGTACTGTAGTCTGTTCCCAAGCTTAAATACGTATCTCTGAGGTTATTTCCAGTGCAAACTGATATCACACATGAATCAGAGAACATTAATAAAGCTGACAGTTTTTTTGTGTGTTTTGTTATTTTCTCTTCAAGAAGTTGTAAAGAGATATAAGCAACAGATTTTTCTAAAGTTTTGTAAAAATTTAAAAAATATTTTTGAATTTTGAATTAACATGTCACAAATTCTCTTTTAACTACAATTATTTCTCCAAAGAGCTTTTCTAAAATAGACCTAAGTGATTTGCCTAAAGCCAAAGCACCTGATTAAGAGAACTGGGTCTAAAATCTGGGTTACCATCCATAAAAAAAAAAACCAGTCTTCTCTAGAAAGGGGTACTACATTGGGAAAAATTCCTCCAGGCTTTAACATAGTAAAATTTTGATTCTAAAAAGAACTTAGTCTAATTTCATTTTTCATGGCTTAAGATAAAATCTGTTTTGCTATCAAGTGCATGGCTCATGAGAACAATAGAAGGCAACCTTCAGATCATGCTAGATTTGGCGTAGGGTAAAAGATCTGAGATTAAAATATCTCTTCTGTTATCTTTGCCAAGTTCCTTAAATCCTAAAATTACAACTAACTGCTGGCTAGACAAAAAAAAAAAAAAAGGCTCATTTTAATAACTTGTTTTGGTGGGAGAGGGAGGGTTGTAGGGTAACTGAACCCAAAGCTGACCACTGACTAAACACAGACCAGCATAAGCCCAATACAGCTACTCTGTTCACCCTCAGGACAGAATTCATTATTGTCAGCAGCAGGAGTATCCTCCTTCAGGGAAATTGCACTAATCTTTTTGGGATCCACCAGGTGCCTTCAGCCTCCTGGGGAAAACCACAAACATGCCCTCTTCCCCATATTAATAAAGGGTCGGGGTCCTGCCATATTCCAGTAATCTGATCTTTCCACTTCACTTGGGCATAATTATCTTTGGTATTAGGGTGCCACAATTGATCAGTGGCCTTGTATATCCACATTCAGAAAATTTAAAGAGAGCATGATTAAGATAATTCTGTGGTGTTTGGGGATATAACTCTCCACCCTTTTATTTATTTTTTGCAGATTTTAAGCATACCAAATGACCAAAATACATAGAACACTCCTACTTCTTTTCTGTCTGGTTACAGATAGTCTAGCTTTGTCTGCTGTGGAAATAAATGTGTTTTTTGCTCTAATCCCAGGTGGGGGTTGTGGGACTGATTCAGATGGTCACAGCAGCAGGTTATTTGCCTCCTGCCGGCTCTGAGAGGAGCTCTGTGCCAGCTGCAGATAGTTTAAATCTGAGGACTCTGGAGAGAGACTAAATGCCAGAGCCCAGAGAGTGTGGTGGCTGAGAGAAAGATAAGGCTGATCCTGGTTGCTGTTGTGAGACAAGAGGATGGAGATCTCCTGAAAAGAGGATTGGACTGGCTCCAAGGAACCCAATGACCTAACCAGCCGGAAGCAGCTAGGAGAACTGCACCTCCTCTCCCAATATCCCTTTCTCTCTCCTACCTGGTGTTGGGGTGTTGGAAGGGATTAGGGTGAAGTAGGGAGAAAAAAATTTAAAAATGCAAAGACCAACCCCCAACAGTTGGTGATCATATAAAACTGAACTGTGTTGTCTAGAAGAGAGTATATAAAGGAAGTTCTATAAGCTGGTGAAATCTCAGTAAGGAGACAGGCCGGTTTCCTGCAAGACTGCACAATATAGAGGAGCTGGGCGAAGGCTACAGGGCTCGTCACAATCATGTCATCCTACAATTTCCCAGATTAAAAACATTTTCAAAAACGCACAGGCCAGATGTGACCCCATGTGCTTATAACCCCAGCACTTGGAAGGCTCAAAGAAGAGCAGTAAATGGAGAGTTGCAGGTCAGCCTGGACTTACACAGTAAGACTGTCTAAAATTAAAAAAAAAAATCCTTCAGAGGGCACTCTTTTTGTTTTTTTGTTCTCTTTTGAGACAGGGTTTCTCTCTGTAACAGAGCCCTTGCTGTCCTGGACTCACTTTGTAGACCAGGCTGGTCTGGAACTCACAGAGATCCACCTGCCTCTGCTGTAAACAGGTAGCCTCTTTCGTATATTTTGAGTTCTAGGGGAAATTCCTTTTAAACATAGTTTCAAAAAAGATAATTGTCAGCATAGATGCATTCCAGGTAGACGAGATACCATTTGTATCCTGTGCCCCCAAGTTAGGTGAACACAACTGCTCAGAAACTGAAGACCACCTTTTCAAGACCAACCTGGCAGTTTGGGAAGACACTGTTAAGGTTTTCAAATATTTTACTAATAACTGACCAGGACATTGGCATGATATGGAACCACACTTGAATAAAACCTAATGTGCTATGTCTATTTGTAGCTGTAACAATTCGGTCTTTGGAGACGAGAA